GTATACATGCATATATGTGTGTGTATGCATGTATATATGTTCATATTTATACACACACAGAGAGACATACCAAGAAAAAATCCAACAACACACTGTTCTGAAAGGCTCACTTTTCAGTATTCACTTGTGAATGAAGTAACAGAATAAGACCTGGTCAATACACATTAATGCTCCTGACAAGTTTGGTTGGAAGCTAAATAGTATGAGCCTTGTTTAGGCTGATAATCATTAACTGTTAAGAAAAATAATACAATTAGAGCATTCATGCTCTTTCCCTTTCTTAGAGTCAGGTTCTCACCATATAGCTCCAGTGAGCCTGGAACTCAATGTCCTTCTGCCTCAGCCTGGAATGCTGGTATGACCACATTTAGCTGAAAGGTCTTACTTGTAAATCTGCGTATTTGAGCCAGGTGTAGTGACTCATGCCTGTCATCCCATCACTTAGGAGGCTAAAGTTAGTAGGGGGTACTGTGAGTTCGTGGCCAGCCTGAGCTACATAGCAAGACCTGGTCTCAAAAATATAAATAATAAGTAAAATAAAAATCCATTTTCTTATACTTTCCTGTGCTTTGAGATGAATCTAAAGTAAGTATAGATGTCAAAGTAAAAATCAGAGGAAGCAAAGGCACAAAAGATTAGAACTAATGTGTCAGGCTAAACATAGCAACACTGAAATTTTACTTTTCCTAGAAGGGGAAAAACGAGCTTTAAGCATCTTCTTGTCCTGGGGGCTGAGGCCTTGCTATTTTCTACCCCTTATCTCTATATGGCAAATGCTATTGTGCCTCTGTCACCACATAGAAAAGAAAAAACAGCCCATGGTTACAGAATTTACCCAGGATCACTCCACTCACAGACGGTGAAACTGAACCGGCTCTCGTATTTTCCACCGTCCCACACCACTTTAGAAACAGAATGGACTAGCAAATGTGTCTTGAAAGCCTTTTGTTTGGTTAGCATCATGCCAGGGGCCAACAGTGGCAAAGTAAGAAATGCTTCTTGGTCTAGATGTATTATTTGAGTAGCACAAGCAGGATCGGCTATATGTCTTTTGAGTCAGTTTCAAATGAAAATGCCCGTCTCAGTAGAGTAAAAAATAAATAATGAAAAGACCCTTTAATATCAACATGGCATTAAAATGTTAAACCAACCATGAGCCCCTTTTAAGTACAAGGGCTACTATGTGAGTTTCATATCCCCGAAACTGGCTCAGTAGAGAACTCAGCAGTGGTTAAAAAGGAAAGTAACAGACCAGTGGCAGTGGTACACGCCTTTAATCCAAGCACTCAGGAGGCAGAGGCAGGCGGATCTCTGGGAGTTTGAGGCCAACCTGGTCTACAGAGCAAGTTCCAGGACAACCAGGGATACATAGAGAAACTCTGTCTCAAAAAACAAAACAAAAGAAAAAAAAATCACTTCTTGGATGCAAAAGAGAAAAAAAGAAAATCGGGTCTTAAATCCCCAGTCAGTTTCACACCGTGTTCTTGGTCCGAGATTGTATCCAAAGTCTACGTGGTTGTTTTATAGTTCTGTCGTCAGGTCAGGGCATACGAGGCTCTGCTACTGCGGGAAGCATCTCAGAACTTGCAGTCTCCTCGGGTAACTTTGTGTACCTCTAAGATTTCTGTTTGGGGGAAACCATGTACTTACAGGAGAGAAAAATGAAGCTTGGGTAACAACTATAATAACTGCTTATTTGTCTCCAGTTATATTTCAAATTGTGCCTGAACGCCACGGCAGCAGTTGTGGGTTTGACCAACAAACCTGCCTATACCACATTAAATAAATCTAGCAGTTCTATAATCTTGTCATTGCTAATGTCTATGATATAAAGCACAGATTACACCTAAAATTTCCTCTGCTTGAGCCTTAGCTGAGAAAAGCCATAAAAATGAAAATGACATTCTGAGAGCCATCAGAAAACCACTGCAGAAACCAACTTCATGAAATACACTCTGTCATGAAAATTTCATAAGCAATTTAAAGAGCTGGGCACGGAGCTCCAAGGAAAACCGTTTGAATCCCATGTGTGAGGCCCCGTGCTTCAGCCTCCTAACACCAGGGTGGCGTGGGGGTGGGGTGAGGAGAGGGGTATAAAAGAAGAGACTCTTCAAAAGCCAGGAGTAAGCCCTAGCCGATTCTAGCCTGTCCCTGACTTAAACAGTTCATCCTCGAAAGGTGCTTAAGCGTCAGACGTGTCCTGGTACTTTATCATCCGGACAATAATTACTTCCTAGTCCCCGGTTTCTCCAAGTCCTGTAGATAGGTTTTAATGGTCCATCATACAGACAAGAAACCAAAACTTAATCATCCAAAGCTATATAGAAACTTGGCAGAGCTGAAAACTGTATTCAAGTTTATTTGCCGCCTCCTGGCACCTGGCAGCTCTGTGTGTTCCTTTCTGAGGATGGCTTTTCAGCCAGGGTGCGCGAGGAGGCTGGGGGCGGGGGCGGCGGCGGGGGCGGGGGCGGCGGCGGCGGCGGCGGCGGTGGGTTCTCTCCTGTCTGTCGGATGCTCCTCTAAGGCACAGTGGGCTCTGGATTTCTCTCTCTCATTCCTACTGCGCTGTTCATTTGGTGCTCACTATACGCTGCCTGCCTGAGCTGCTTTTGTGTCCCCGCCATTCTGAGACCAAATCTCACCCTGTGTATGTGCCATATCGCTGGGCCCATAAATAAGAAGTTAATGCCATTTTATAGGAGTTTCCAATATGGCTACAGGCTCTAGAGTAGCCTGTGACCTGTGGCAATTATTTAACTTTCTTTTTTTTAACTGTTAAGCTTTAAAATATTGGGCTTAAAGCAGTGTCTGAAATAGAAGGTCAGGGATAAAATGGAAGTATGGTATAGTCCCGTGGCAGAGGACAGGCCTACCATTGGTGATGCTCTGAGGTTGCTCCAATACTGCGGTAAGTAAACGAATAAATAAATTAAACAAAGGAAGGAAGCAGCAGAGAGCAGTGTCTGGTGCCGGCCCTGCAGCCATTGTGCGTGTTGGCATCTCGAGGAGTCTGTCTGTAGTTGTTTATTTCTGACATAAGTTGCAACAGTAGAAGCTGTGTTCTAGGGTGGTGTGAGATTAAACAGTTCAAAGAAGGCACTGCCCACTGCAGAAGGGGTACCGTCGTGTGAAGATCTCGGTATATGTGGCTTCCTGCTGCCTCCTCTGGCACAGGCTCACTTTCTGCACACTGTGGGAGTCCCACAAATGCTTGCCAAACATTCCCTTTCTTTGTTTTTGACAGTCTTCAGTTAAGACTTGCTTATATCCTGTAGTTTATTGTGTGTGTGCATGCGTGTTGTATGTATGTGCATGTGTGTCGTATGTATGTGCATGTGTGAGTGTGGGTGCACAAGCACACATGTGCATTGTGTGTAGAGGTCATAGGTCAACATTGGATATCTTCCTCACTCTTAATTTAGAGACAGGTATCTCAGTGACCCTGAAGCTCACCAATTTGCCTAGCTAGATTGGCAGGCTAGCCAGCTTTTATGGATTATTTTGTCTCTGCTTCCACGTGCTTGGATTACAGGCACACTGCTGCACCCAGCTTTTACGTGGGTGCTGGGGTTCAGGTTCAGCTGGTCTGGACCTAGAGATTCTCATGCTGAGATGAGAGGGTGTACCACCATCACGGCGTCTGTGTTTTTTTTTTTTTTTTTTTTTGTCAGTACTCTATGACTAGGAATTATGTATTCATCAGAAACAGTACCTTGATTTTTTTTTCAGAGTAAAAACTCGGTTTATTGGCTCCAAGAAAAGGAACAATAATGTCCAGCTTTCAGGCTCAATCTCTGTACAAATTTCGTCAAAACCAAGGTTCACAGAGGCGCCCATCCAAAGCACCTTCTCTCCCGGGCCAGGGGATGGCTAGCTGCCTGCTGCCGAGTCTCTGGGCTGCTCTGCAGGACCTGACACAGCCGAGGCAGCCTCGTAGTCCGCGATGCGGCGCTGGACAAGGGCGGGCATGAGTTGCACATAAGCGGCCCTGAGGCGGTGGTTAGAATGGATGAGCTTCCCAGCACAGCTGTGCAGACAGGCCTCCTCCTCAGCGTCCAGAGCTCGGTAGTGCAGGCTGGGCACACAGCGCTGGAAGCACAGTTCGGTCATCCGATTGTAGACCAACAGGAAGTCTTGCAAGTTTCTTAGCTGCTGCTGCTCCATCACGCTCAGGGCCAGTACCTTGATATTTACAGTGTGTGTTCACTAACGAGACTTTGTTTGTTTGTTTGAGGTAGAGTCTCACTTCGGCTGGCCTTGAGCTCCCTTTCAGAATGGCCTTGAACTCACAAGAGATTCACCTTTCTCTCTGCCTTCTTAGTGCTAGGATTAAAGCACGTGCCATCACGCCTGACTCAATGTATATTTCCAAGGAAGCTCAAAAGTGAGGCCCCTTTTAACCCATAAATACTGAAAGCATGGTTTTAAGAGTTCTCCCAGTCATGGCTGTTCTGTATTTATATTATTGGTCTCTTGGTTTCTTGGCATGTCCTTCCTTCTCCTGCATGCCTCCTGGACTCTGCTTCCATCTCACTTTGTGTTATAGCTCCCTCAAAGCTGTTCCTGGACCCTGTTCTTGACTACCTTTTTTTTTCCTGGGTAATTTTGTAATTCGACCGTGACTTTCTCTCCCCCTCAAGCAGTGACTCACCTTTACACACACAGTGCCAGTTGCCTCCTGGAAAGCTAACCCTGGCTGACCTCTTCCTCCAGGAATCCTCCTGCCACTAAACAGCATCAGCTCCCTGCACAGAAATATGACAGTCCTTCTTCTCTAGTCCCTGTATCAAATTCGTCAAATTGCTATCGATCCTACCTCTGTGCTCACTCAAACCTGATGCCTTGTTTCCCTTCCCGTGGATGATTTAGTTTCTTGCCGTTTCCACTTTCCTCTCCCTTTCCATCCTGTCTCTGGTTGTAATTATTTCATTTTCTTGTATTTGTCTGTATGTGGTGCATGCATGTAAATATGTTTATATTGTGTACATGTATGTGTGCATGTGTGTGGAGTTCAGAGGTCAACATCAGGTTGTTACGCTCCATCTTTATTTCTTTTTGAGAAATTTACTCATGGAAGTTGGATCTCACTGATTGGCTAGACCAGGGGACAATAGTCCTCCAGTTCCACTCTGGAGTTACAGAATGTATGGTCAAACTATGCATTTTACTTGACGGCTGGAGATCTGAACTCAGGTCTCAGGCAAGTACTTGATCACCGAGTCATCTCCCTAGACTCATCTAGTCACGATCCTATAATACCTTTTATTACAGAAGTCTACACACGTGTAAACAGGGAAGACTGATGAACTGTATGTTGCCGCCAGTCCACTTCGACATTTAACTTCATTTTGTTGATCTCAGAATAAAGAACATTCAAGGACTTATTTCATTCTGCTTGTAAGTAATTCAGCATTCATCTCTCACGGATGAGAATAAGTAAGAAGTGTAAGCAGAAGCTGGGCACAGTGGTATTTGCCTGTAATCTGAGCTCCTTGGGAGGCTGAAGTGGGAGACTTGTGAGCTGGAGAGCAGCCTATGTAACATACTGGGGCAGTAACAGCCTTGCAAAACAAGCAGATACACACAATACCTGCCACTATCACATCTAGCAAAGTTAAAAATGATTTTTGAACGCAGTCTAATATCTAGTCCATAGTTAAAATTTCCCGATGACTTTAAAGGTGACTTTGATTGGTTAACTCGTGATACAAATAAGTTGAAATGTTTCACATAATCGTTGTTCCTCTTGGCTACTTTTCAGTCTGTCTATTACCTCTGTTGAGTAGCTGTGGTGTGTGGTGTGTGTATGTGTGTGTGTGTGCGTGTGTGTGGTGTGTCTGTATGTGTGTGTGATATGTGTGTATGGTGTGTGTGTGTGGTGTGTGTGGTGTGTATATGGTGTGTGTATGTGTGTGTGGTGTGTGTGGGGTATATATAGTGTGTGTGGTGTGTGTATGGCACATGTGTGTGGTGCGTGTGTGTGTGTGGTGCGTGTGTGATGCGTGTATGGTGTGTCTGTGTGGTGTGTGTGGTGTCTGTGGTGCATGTGTGTTGTGCGTGTGTGTGGTGCGTGTGTGGTGTGTGTGTGGTATATGTGTGGTGTGTGTGGTGTATGTGTGGTGTGTGTGTGTGGTGTGTGTGTGTGGTGTGTGTATGCTTGTATGTGTGATATGCATAATTTCATGTTTTCCCAGAGTCTATACAAATGATGGCACATCAGGTCAATCCCTTCATGAGCATTCTGGAATTAAAAAAAAACAACTGGCAACTTTTATGCTGCACATTTCATGAAGTCAAGAGTAAGAAAGGAACCCCCTCCCCCCATAAATACACACATCCTACATGTAGAGAAAATACGCACGACAGGAGAAAACTATTCTCCATTTCCAGACGAGATGTAGCTAGTTATCAACTGTGTTACATAAAATCATTGGAAGTGAGCCTTTCAGAAGCCCTTCAAGTGGGAATGAATACTCCTGCTTCAGATTAGGAAAGGAGTCGAGGGAAGCCAAATTAGTGTGAGTCCGAAGTTGGAGCAGCCTCTTTCTGGGAGATTCATGCTCTTCCATCTGGCAGGGAAGCTGCAGAAATGAGTGATATAGTGTCCAATGAAGGCTGGCTTCAGTAGGAGAGAAAAGTACTGCTGGAGGCTTAATTCTGGGAGGTTTCTGGGAGGCGCTTTACCAGGTTCAAAGAGTCCTGCCCACACGAGCTATGGGGAATAGGCTATTTTGGCTTAAGACAATATGTTAAAGAAAATAACTACTCAGTAGGTTCAGATAAAAACTTTAATAATTTTAACAGTGGCAGAAAAAATTAGCCATTTAAGGGTACACAGTGCCCTGCCCTAGCTGGTGCCACCCCTAGACTGACATGAACATCACCAGCCTGTCTCTGCGTTTCCTTCCTGCTCTGCAGCAGACCTCAGAACCACAAACTTTTTTTCTCTGGGATCCCTTTTCTCTCGTAACTGACTTTATCTAAACTCCTTAGTAGTTGGTACATCCTTAATGCTTAAAAGAAAAAGAAATGTCAAAAGATCATGGTATCCACGGGAAGGAAATTGCGTTCAAAATATATTTGGCCAGCAAAATTGTGTTTCACGAGCCAGCCTGCACGTAGCTAGATTAGCCAAGCTGTGAGCCACCCCAGCTTCCTGCTGCTCTCCAGGTACTTAGCTAAGATGACTGATAAGAACCCCCCTAGTTATTTGCAGTCACAGTCGCTTCCTAAAGGGGACATCCCACAACAGGCACAGAGATGGAGATTTTGTCTTCTTGGAAGAGGTGTCTTGTTGTGGAATATTAGTTTAATATGTGTTACATTTGTTTGGGCTGTGGAATATTTGTTTAATGATGCAAACATGTGTCACATGCTCTCATGTTGCATTTGTTTAACTCTGCGAAGCTGTGTTACTTCGCCTGTCTAAAACTCCTGATTGGTCTAATAAAGAACTCAACAGCCAATAGTGAGGCAGGAGAAAGGATAGGCAGAGCTGTCAGACAGAGAGTATAAATGGAAGGAGAAATCTGGGCAGAGAGTGAAGAGCAAGGAGGGAGAAAAGGAGGAGAGGATACCTTCTCCAGTCACCCAGCTACACAGCCAACCACAGAGCAAAAAGGAAAGAAAACTGGTTCAGCCACTTTGGAAATCAGTTTGGCGATTCTCAGAAAATTAGGAAACAATCTTCCTCAAGACCCAGCAATACCACTTTTGGATATATACCCAAAGGATACTCAATCATACCACAAGGACATGTGCTAAATTATGTTTATAGCAGCATTGTTTGTCATAGCCAGAACCTGGAAACAACCTAAGTGCCCCTTGACCAAAGAATGGGTAAGAAAAATGTGGTACATTTACACAATGGAGTACTTCACAGTGGAAAAAAAAAATGATATCTTGAAATTTGTGGTTAAATGGATGGAGCTAGGAAACATCATTTTGAGTGAGGTGACCCAGACCCAAATATCATATGTACTCACTCATAAATGTTTTTTAGACATAAAGCAAAGAAAAATCAGCCTACAATTCACAATTCCAGAGAACCTAGACAACAATCAGAGCCATACATGGATCTGATTAATCTACATGGGAAGTAGAAAAAGACAAGATCTCCTGAGTAAATGGGGAGCGTGGGGACCGTGGGCAGAGGGGAGAAAGGGAGGGGAGAAAAATGTTTAGCTCAATAAAACAATTTTAAAAAGTGAAAAAAAAGGAAAGAAAGACATATAGAATAAAGAAGGGTTAAAAGCCCAAAGGCAAAATGTAGTTAAAAAGAAATGGGATAATTTAAGTCAGAAAAGCTGGCTAGAAACAAGCTAAACTAAGGCCATTCTTAAGTAAGAATAAGTCCCCATGTATTTATTTGGGAGCTGAGTGGAGTGCTCCTAAAGATGGGACCAAGTTTTGGGTTCTCTCTGCCTCCTGCTTGTAGCTTGAGATGTCAGCCCTCAGCTGTTGCTTAAGCTATGCCTTTGCTCTGACATTACGGACTCTAACCTTCTGAAACTGTAACCCTAATTAAACCCTTGCTTTTTAAGTTGCCTTGGTCATGGTCACAGCAATAGAAAAGTAACAGATATGTAGACAAAAGCAGCAAGAAGCTCAACCATAGTGTTCCAGTAGCTACAGATTTGAAGGATCAGATTTAGAGACCAATAAATGCTGGCTTGTCAAGAACATCTGGGGTCCTGAAGAGGGTACAGAAGGCTGCCTTAAAATAACCCCGAGGACAGGAACAACCACTGTGGAGATGCCACTACAGCCAGTTATCACACTGTGTGAACTGACGGATGGTGGCAATAAAGGACTCGAGGACAGCCTGTCTAGAAGGATTTTATCTTCACATTAACCAAAACCTTTACTGAGACAAAATACTTGAATCATGTAGAATCTGAGTTATTATTATTATCAGAATTCTATTACTTTTTTTTTAACAAGGGTAAAATGTTACTTTTTTTAACACTTGTAATCAACAATTTTATAGTATTAAAGACTCATGACTTAATTCTAAGCATGAAACTTTCATTTTATCAAAGAATGTGTAAAGCTTTTTTGACTGAAAAAAACAAACAAACTTATGTTCCATCAATAAGAAAAATACCTGATATTCATGAGACAGAGGCAGGCTGACCTCTGTGATCTCTGATTTCTAGGGTAGCTAGTGCTA